AAGTGGGAGAGGTGTGTCACAAAGGAGGTGGCCTGCTCCTGGGGTCACAGCCCCTCTGACTGGTGGCCAACAGGTGCTTCTGTAGTACTGGAAGCTCCCCTACCCAGTGTACAGATGGATGAGCGCCACGTGGGACAGAGTCCTTTTGGGGCTCCCAGGGTGGCTGACCACCTGGCTGCGTGGGGCTGCGGTGTGGGGCTCTGCAGTGGTGGGGTGTCCCGTCCCCCACTGCCCTGCCGCCTTGGCCCCAGCTTCTGGCCTGCTGGGGCCCCTTGAGATCCAGCCTGATAGGGTGGCGTCCCAGGAGGGGCACTCCCTGGGGAGGTGGGGTTTGAGTGCCCCAGGCCATGGCATGGCTGCCCACACCCACTTTCTATGTGCACTGGGCCCCACGGAGCCACTGAAGGTTTTCGAGGGGCTGGAGGCTGTGACCTTTTCCACTCAGGGGAGGGAGGACCTGGACCAACCCAAGTCCTCACCGGCCAGGGTGGGTAAATAAACTGATGTTCACTGAACAGAACACTGCCAGGGTCCCAGAGGCCGGAGGACAGAAAGGCAGGCACAGGTCAAGGCGGTCATTTATGCCACTGGGAACCACGTGACAGTCACACTGAGGCACCACGGGAAAGCTGGAGTTTGTCCTCTGGGGAGTGGAGGCTTCAGGGCTCCAGTGTCCCAGCTGTCTGAGGTCGCAGCAGGATGGTGGGGACAGCAGAGCCGGCTCCCAGCTGCCATCTGTCCATCTGTCCAGGGCGAGGCACCCGTGATAGCAGGTGGGCTGGGGCCAGCCCTGCGCTTAGCTCACCCTCTGCTGCATCTTCCCATTCCTGAGCGCTTTGTTTTTTTTTTACGAGGGCCCCACATTTCTACTCTGGACGGAGCCTTGAACATTCCTAGGCTGGTCTTGGGTATTAACTGCGGGAGTGGGGCTACCTTCTCGGATTTCTGCAGGGCACCCTAACCGGTATCACCAAATGGGGCTCTTTTAAAGTTAGACTTCTTCCCTTTACAGACAAGTGGCTTCTCCAAGGCTCCTCAGGCCCAGGGCCTTACTGCCACCCAACCTCAGCCCAGGTGAGTGGACAGAATGCAGACGCTGGTATGAGAAGCCAAGCCTAGTTTTACTCTCCCAGGCAAGTGGAGGTCTGGCTCCGGGAAGGGATGAAAGGGGCCTGGACCTAGCTGTTGTCTCCTTGTGTCCCCTGCCCCATTCCTCACTGTGAAAGACCTCTGCCCACCTGTACACAGGGAGATGGTGATGTGAAGCAAATGGGCCCCTCCATCTCCCTGGAGTAAGCTTTGAATAAACCCCTTTTCCTTTTTTATCAAAATAAATGCTCTCCTTCGATTTGGTCAGTAGCGAGACTGAACATATGAGCCTCTATGGCTGGGGACAGGTCTGCTGCAGGTGTTAGGCCTCAGATGACTGACGGCCCAAGGTGGGGCCAGAAGGGGCATCCCACCGAGACATGAGCACCTGCGAACTCCAGGGCGGGCTGTGGCAGAGCTCCCTGAAACCTGCTGTTTCAGAGGAGTCTTCAGTAGGGGATCATTTTAAAATCAGACCTTGAGTCTTGTACTTAGGAGAACCAATCAACCCCATGCCACAACCCAAACTGTCCTTCCCCAGCAATTTCCCATCTGTGCCTTGGAACACACATCCAAATCTGACCTGCTAGTGTGAGTGGTAGCCCCCTAGGGTCCAGGTTAAGTCATCTGTGGCCACCTCAGCTTTGTGATGGCCGCCTGGGAGGTGGCACCGGTGAGTGTTGACAAGGTCACCATGACGGGCTGTGAGGTGGAGACGGGGAGAAAGCAAAGGTGCTTGGAGGGTGAGGCCCCAGGACACACACAGGGGGGAGTGTCAAACCCTTGGGGAAACCCACCCACTGCAGGGCACGCTTGCATCTTGGGGGCAGTGGGCAAGGCCCATCACTGAGGAGCAACTGTGTGCGAAGATGTCACTGCCGAGTGTGGATGGAAGATGAGCAGGACAGGATGACACTGGTCCGCATTCTCAGGCACACAGCTTGCTTTCTGGGTGTGGCTGCTGCCACCTTCAGTGTCAGGGGCCACTGCTGTCACTGGGGGACCATGTTTGAGAACACTATGGGGTCCTGGAACCCCCACACACATACACAGAGTGAGACAGGCTAGACCCACCCCAAGGGTGCTGAGGAGACTGGGGGGTGATGGGACACAGGTGCCATGGGGGACGTTGGTGTGAATTGAGTCCCTCTTTCAGATGAAGTACCCACTGCAGGCCCGGGGCCTGGAGCACATCCTGGCCAAACACTTCCGACCGTGGTGGTGGGGTCTCATGCAGCCCCCGGATGCCCCTCACCAGCTGGGTCTCTGCTGCCCCTGTGCCAACCTGGACTCAACCCTTCCACTCCCACGAAGTGCTCACCCCTCCTACAGGGTAGCCCAGTTGGCCCCAGGCCCCTGGCTCACTCACACAGATGTCACCCTGGGTAAGGTCCCTTCCTTGCCCTGGCAAAGGGATGACCTCAGGGTGCTGGCCCTTCCCCACTTGATGCCTGGCTCTATGGCCTCTTCCTAAGGTACGCTCCATTTGCTGCATCCTGTAGGCCAAGGCTGCACACCTTGGGCCATCAGTTCCCACAGGTAATGGCTCCCCTGACTCACAAGGTGGCCCTGACCCCAGCTCCCTGACACAAAGCAGGAATAGCCTCCTCTCCCTCCTCCCAGCCCCGTATCCCTGAACCCTCTTCCCACCCTGGCCTGAGACCCCATGGAGAGGCAGACCCCATTCTGCAGTAAGGGGCCAAGGAGACCTGGGGGAGACGGAGGCTCGAGCAGCTCTGCAGCTTCTTCTTGGGGGTCACTGTGGCCCCAGATCTGGGGTGCTGGGTGTTTCCGAGGTGGATGACACCGAGGGGTCCTCCCTCCCTGCCTTGTGCCAGGCCTGTGCTGGGGATGAGGTGACAGTGATGGCCTGCAGCCTGTGATGTTCCTTGGGCCATTCTAGCCCTGCCACTCACCTTCGTCATGGTCAGGCACTGTGGCCAGGACTTGGAGGAGCTGGTTGTTAGGTCTAAAAGGACAGGAAGGTGACAGAGCATGAGGAGCCGCAGGGGATGGGGCAGCAGGCCTGGCCTGGCTGAACCACCACCTACGTGGGCTTGGGCCTAACCAGCACACAAAGCTTAGGATGGGGAAGGGGAGCCAGCAGGCCAGCCAGATCACCGCCCAGTCCAGGCCCTTCCCTTGCTCTTCTGGGGCCCACCCAGCCTAAAGCCAGACACCTGAGTGTCCCTGGGCCAGCAGCCACCACACCCTGAACCCCAGAGAACCTGCCATCTCTGCTGTGGTCCAGCAACCCCTGCGATGCCACCACAGTGAACCTGGCAGACCAACCAGGGCTGTGTCTTGGTGTCCCCATCCTGCCAACCACCTCTCCAGCCACCCCAGCAAAATACATTGTTTTCTGGTACCGGGGATCGAACTTGGGTCCTTGCGCCTGCAAGGCAGGCAGTGGAACCACTAAGCTAAATCCCCGACCACCAGCAAAATATGCTTGGGAAACAGAATTTGAGTGGCCCTAAAACAAGTGAAAAGCTCTGGTCTCCCCACCTTGCCCAAAGGGCTGCAGTGGCCACTTGTCCCCCTCATCGAAGGCCCTGTGTGAAGTGGGGAACTTGGGCACTTGGCTGGGCTGGACACCTCAGGATGCCCCATGACATCAGGGTTCTTTCCTCCTTCTGAAGCAAGTTTGTCTTGCTGGGGATCTAGCTCAGTGGTTCCACTGCCTGCCTCGCAAGCAGAAGGACCAGAGTTCGATCCTGGGTCCCAAAGAAAAATAAAAAAGTCAAAAAAAAATTGGCATGTGGAGCTGAAGCAAGTTTGTCTTAAGAAATAAAACCAAGAAAGTCAGATAAAACATGCGAAGCCATGTAGGTGTGGGCTGACTCATGAGTTCAACCTGAGGACACAGAATATTCTTTTTTTTTGGTACTGGGGCTTGAACTCAGGATCTTGTGCTTTAAATCTCCGGCCCTGGAATATTCATTCTCTTCTGGCCCGAGAGCACAACTGTCTCTTCCCAGGGCTGGCAGGGTGCTGGGCTGGCAGGGTGCTGGGCTAGCAGTCCACGTCTGCAGGGACTTCCGTGTCCAGGGGAAGGCTCCCAGGCAGCAGGCAGCCCCCACATCCACTGCCAGACTTCAGCCAGCCATGGACGTTGGCCTCAGCTGGCCACCAAAGTCCCTTGTCTGAGGGACACCACTCTGAAGCAGGCCCCAGCGAGGAGCTCGCCGAGGGCTGGCCAGGCGTGTGCCAACAGCGCCACCCTCTCTATTCACTTTCAGAAGGCAGCCACCCGTCCCTGGCTGAGGTGGCTGCCAGCTGGCCTGAGGCGGGTGGAGCAGATTTGAGGCGGGTGAGGGTTTGTTCCCCAGGCGCAGTGTTCTGGCCAGTGCGTTCCCTTTGCAGCAGCTGATGCCTCCTGGACACATTTCTGCACCACACACTCGGCTGTTCATCCTCCCACACCATGGCCACTGCTGCAGCAACTCCCAACCCAGGTGCTGTCCCCAAGAGAGCAGGCTCAGGAGACAAGACGCCCTGGATGGGGGGCAGCACAGATGGGGACACCCAAGGTCTGGCGGGTTCCAGTCAGGTGGAAACCCCACGCACCCAGGCCTAGGGGGGCTTGGAGACCAAGGCCTGGGGGACTCCAGCAGGGTTGTCCAGGGTTCTACGCTGTCCCTGAGCCTTCAGGGACAACATCACTCTGGAGCCTGTGTGTGGCAAGGTCAGATCTATAGCTCCGCCCTTGCCCCATCAGAAGCTCACAGGATTTCTGAGCTGCCATGAGGTCCTGCCAGGGCTGCAGGCTGGTGGGAAACAGCCCCTCAGAACCCCCACCCCCCAGCACTGGTGCTGGCTGTGCACGGGGCCAGAGACCTCATGGCTCAGAACCTTGTTGAGGAATGCTCACGGGCTGAGCTGCCCTAACAGCAAATGTCACACACAGACATGCTTAGATACAGGTTTATTGCAAACTAACACCAAGGAACTGAAGCAGCTTTGCAGGCTGGACATCCCACTCTCCGGGGCCCCTGGACAAGGGGGATGAGTCAACCCGCTTTTCTCGGACCTCAGCTGGTGGGACTTAGTGGCCAAACTGCAGCTGTTGTGTCTAAAAAGAGAAAACAGGCCGTGCGCCAGCTACGGACAGACACTGGTCTGGCCCAGAGTGGCACCCCGGGCAGCGACCCATCCACCAGGCGCTGGGGACAAGCCATGCCGCGGGGGGGGTGGGGGGGGTGGCATGGCAGGGCCAGATGGGGATGGCTGCTGCCGCCATGCAGCCCCAGCTTCACACTGCTCCTCCTGGACAGGGGCTTGCACTTGTGAAGCAGGGCAGGAAATGGGAAGAAATCCACACGGAGAACAAAACCAAGCAAGAGGAAGACACTGCCATGGAAAGGAACAACTCCACCTCTCCCCAATGAGGCACAGGGTTCCAACACTCTGTCACTCCTCGGGAGGACCAGCCACAGGTAGGGACGGGACAACTAGGGGACCAGGGAGAGGACAGCAGACACACCCACTCCTGCGCGCAGCAGTATGCAAACCTCAGGCTCCTGGTGGGAATTTCAGGAAAAATGACCACAACTTTCTCAGGGCCCCTGGAAAGTGACAGTTCTGTTCCCTGGCACCAGCTCCATGGCAAATGCGAGATGACAGGGCTCTCACGGCTGTTCCTCCCCTTGAACCACAGAACACCTCCCAGTTCACACCTCTCACGGGCTGTTTGCATCCCTGGGGCCCAGAAATCCCCTTTCCTGGCTGCAGAGAACCAGCTCTGGCTCCACAGCTAAAGATGGCTGCCCCTGGAGGGACATCCCACCATTGCACCCCTGGGGACAGCCCCTCCCAGCTCTCCCAGCGAGCAGGAGGCCAGGCCTTGCTTCTAGTGGGCTGCAGGTGGCACAGGCACGGAGACCTGTGCTGTGACCTATCTGTGTACCAAGGCTGAGAGCCAGGTGAGGGGCAGCACTGGGAAGAGGTGACACAAGTTCCTGGCTACAGGTGCACGGAGGCCCCTGGGACCACTTGGGTCCCTGGGTCCTGCCCCTTGGCCCAGTCTGCACAATCTGGCTGGAGAAGGGCAGCAGCTGTAGCTCAAGGCATGGGTGCAAGGCTGCTGGGGAGGTGCCCAGTCCCCGGGGACAGTGGGACAGTCTGTTGGCTCCAGGGACTGCTGTCTGGTGTCACCACAGACACCCCTCCTCCTGTGGCTGAGGTCCAGGCTGTGAGCTTGCTGTGGTCTCCTCCCGGGGGTGCCCAAGTCTGTGCCTGGCCAAAACCCCACAAGGATGTCTCCTGACAGCCCAGCTTGTGTGCCATGCAGCGGGGCTGGGCCTGGTCACTTCCATAAGAGCCTGGAAAGGCGGCTGCAGTCCGAGTGCAGACGGGATGCACTGTGGCTGGGTCCACAGCCGATGCGCAGTCCCCAACACCAGTGACGTGCAGGCGACACACCCCAGCAGACTTACAAAGAGCAAGGCGCATGTGAACACACCCCAGAAGGTGAGGGGCTCCGGCAGAGGCCAAGCAGCACCCCACAGCATGCCCCAGTTGCCCTCATGCAAGCACTGAGCTCCACACTTCAACTTGGCCTTGCTGAGGGGACAGAACTCCACACCCAGCCACAAGGACAGCAAGCAGAGGACATCAAAACAACAGCGAAAGGGGTGGGGTGGGTGCAGCCCGACGCAGCTGGTTGCTGTAGAGACAGTGTGTGCTCCCGGTTCTTGGGCAAGTGTTCCTCCTGTGTGTCAAACACCTTCCATCAGCGTTGGCCACAGCGGCTGGCAACACTGGCCCCGCACCTTCTCCCAACAGTCTGGCGGTGCGAGGTCAGGAGGGAAGGCCTGGCTCACCCTTAGAGAAAGGGCAGCTAGGAAAAAAGGAGAGGAGTGCATCCCTGGCATGCAGGGAGCTGAGGGGGGCGGCTGAGGACAAGGGCCATCCTTTTCCTTCCAGTCACTAAAACTGCACAGCCCCCGGGGAGATGTTGAACATGGCAGGGTCGAATCGCTGGCCTCGGAAGGGAGAGCCTTCAGCATCCCACCCCTTCTTCAGCATCTCATGGACTTTCTACAAACAGAAAACAGAGGTTAAAGATGACTGGCACTGCACTTTCTCCCCAGCAGGCTGACCGTGGGCTTGCCTTGGGGCACTCGATGGAGACTGCCAACTCCTCCGCAAGACCGTGCCCCATGGCCACAACTCCTAGGCCTCTGTCTGTGGACTCCAGGAGAAGGGTCCCCAGCCCACCCAAGGACACAAGTGAGGCACGCAGGTTCCTATCACTGATCAGACAATCCAGGTTTGACAGACTGTGATGCAGCAACCTCTAAATGCCTCCCTGGGGACACGGTCAGGGCTGGGGGACTCAGCTCCACTCTGAGACTGAAGCCCCCCAGGGTTGGAAGCAGACCTGAGCTGCGTGGCCAGGCTGGGGGCATGGACAGCCCTATGCTGGCAGGCCCTCCTGGCCTGGGTATGTGCCACCCATCCACGGCACAGCACGCACACCCGGGGCTGGGGGTGACCTCTCCTTTCTCTTCACTGTGAGAAATGAAAGTGAAGTGCAGGGGCAGAGGCCACCCTGGCCATGGAGTCCAAGGTTCCTGCTGCAGAAAGCTCAACAGGCAGGCGGTCATGACTCCTCTTAGGGAAGACAAGCGGAGGACAAGAGATTTGAGCAGTGGGGAAACTCCCAGTGTCTGTGGAAACCTCTGGGCTCTCAGTTTCAGTGTATTTATCATAAATAAAACACCAGGTTCCTGACAAGGGGCTTCCTTTTCTGTCTCCCCCCTCATTAGGACTGAACCAAAGGTCTTTTTTATTGAGATTGATCTATGCTTCCCAACTTCTTCTTTTTTCCTTAATACTTTTATTGGTACATTTTAGGTACACATTTATCATTGAGTGCTTGTACCTGTACATGATGCATCTTGGTTATTTTTTCCCCATTCCTTGTGCTCCCTTCACCCCCTCCACCCTTCCCTATTTACAAAGACTTCGTTTTCATTTTTTCTTTTCTCATAATTTTTCCTTTCCCTTCTTTTCTTTCCCCTGTCCCTACCCCTTTGGAACTTTTCTTCCTATTTCAAATTAGCAATTATTCGTTTTAATCATTTTAGTCCTTATTTACACTTTCAGTCTGACACACTAGAGAAACTATTCAGTATTTACACGTGTGTGTCCTACTTTATTTCACTTAAGAGTATGGCCTCAATGTGCATCCATTTAGCTATAAATGTCTCTTAGTTTGTCATTCTTTATGGCTGAGTAGTACTCCATTTAATTAAAAATCCACATCTTCTTTATCCAGTCTCCAGTTGATGGGCATTTGGGCTGTTTCCAAGCTTTAGCTATTACAAACTGTGCCGCTATAAACATGGGTGCACATATATCACTGTGGTATGATTCTTTTAATTCTTTTGGGAAGATACCCAGCAGGGGGATAGCTGGGTCAAATGGGACCTCTAGTCCTAGTTCTTTGAGGTATCTCCATACTGATTTCCATAGTGGTTTCACCAGTCTGCTCTCCCACCAACAATGGAGAAGGGTTCCCTTCTCCCCACACCCCCGCCAGCATTTGTTATTGGTTGATTTCTTGATAGCAGCCATTCTTTCTGGGATGAGGTAGAATCTCAGTGTTGTTTTCATCTGCATCTCTGCAATGACCAGTGCTGTTGCACATTTTTCATCTTTCCAACTTCTTACGGATAACAGATCAGTGACTAGAAAGACCAACTTGAGAAGGCTCTGTAGTGGGGCCTGAGAGGGTGGCACACACATGTGACTGGGATGAGGGAGGGGACAGGGAGCCCCTATGTGACCCTGAAGGCCCGGCCTCCACCTCTGTCCATGGGGAACATGAGGCTGGACAGTTTCAACCAAACCCAAGAATGGACCAAGCCCACATCCCAAGCAGGAGGCCCTGGCGCCCCTGAGACCAGGGACAGCGGGAAGCCCCGCACGAGAAGCTAAGCATGCCCTTATCAGTCTAGATCTTCGGATGGAGATCTGTGCCAGGGCCTGAGCTCAGACCTCCTGGGTGGAGGTGGAAAGCAGGCTTCCTGGGTGTCACCAGCTCTCCTGGTAACGCTGGCACCTGCCTGTCAGGGTGGTCCCACCAGGCTGGAGAAGAGGTCACAGAGACACATCCCTGACAAAAGGCCTGTGACTCCATACTCCCTTCCTTGGGGGAAGCCTACGCAGTGAAATTAAACTAGGGGCAAGATGAAGAATATTAAATCAGCTGATTCTGCAAAGAGGTGACCTCACAATGACACTGAAGACTTTAAAACAACATGAGTTAAGTGTTATCGCTTCAAAGTTAAAGTGCTTCAGAACACACAGCATCTGTGGCATTAGCAGCACAATTTGAAATCCTGGCAAATTTAGAAAACTCTTTTGAGTTCACACCATAAATGGGCATCAACACCAGGCACGCTGGTGACTGTGACTATGCCAACGTGCATGGCAGACGGAGGCTGAGAGAACCTGCCCCGCCTCCAGCCTCTCCCCAGCGAGGACCATGATCCTCAGCAAAGCGACCCGGACCTTACAGAACTCTTGGGAAGGTCCCTCTGCTTCCCCATGAGGCATCTCTCATGTCAAGGAAAATGTGGCCAAGCTGCTTCCTGGGGCCACGTGAGGGCATGGACCTACCTTTCTAAGCATGTTTCTTCATTCAATATAAAAAGGAATTTATCTGACATGGCACTCTTGGATAGTCAGGGTCCTAAGCCACACAAAGCCCAGAGCGAAGCTGAGACTGGCACAGGGACAACCACAGCCCCACAACTTGGGCTCATTGCCATCCGTGGCTTTGGGCTGGGCACTGGGGCTCTCTGGCTACCCAGGAGCAGGTTGGTGAGGGGTCATTCTGCGCCCCACCTATGCACTGCAGCCCTGGACTCCTGTGTGTCACTGAAGGCTCCCCAGGGCACCTTGCTCGGGGCAGGGACACATGTGGCAGCTTGCTACCTGGCCTGGCAAGTTGACAACAGAATTGATTTAGACGCAAAGCAGTCGTTCTAGACCATAGCACCTGAAGGATCTTCTTTGGATTCTTCTTAAGCTGCTGCCCAGTATGGACTCCACGGCTCCCAGCATGGGGCCACAAGCAGCAATGCACCAGGCCTGGGTGAGCCCTCAACGGCTCTGCATTTGGTCTCTGCTGTGGCCTGGGGGCCAAAAGGCCAAGAGGGGCCCATCACACTGTCCTCGTAGCAAGTCCAGCAGGAACAGTGGCTGCACAGAGGGTACATGGACAGCCACCCACCCACAGGCTATGGTGCCACCATCGCCTACCCCTTGAGCCGCTCCCGTCCCAGGCTGTCGGTGAGGGTCTTGGTGTGAGCTGGAGGCCAGAGCTTCCTTGGAGCTGCCTCACTCTGCTGCAAAGAGCAGACTGCCATGCTCTCAGTCTTGGGCCGCGGGCTGGGCAGTAGCCGCCAGCATGAGGATCCTCGAGGCTCCAGGGTCAGACCCAGAGCAGCTGCACAGGGGTCTGAGCTGCTCTTCGGAGAAGGTAGGTGTGAAGTGGCTGCACTCCAAGGACCCTGAGGGCCAACCCAGGCCAGCCCTCCCTGCGGATGCAGCACAGGGTCTGGCTGTGTCAGCCCTAGAGAAGGTGACACCAGGCAGCCAGAGGGTGCCAGCTCAAAATGCAAAGGACAGGGAGGAGTGTGGGGAAGGTCCAGGAGCAGGAGGGGAAGAGGAAATGGGAGGCAATGGGTCCAGGCAGATCCACTGTCCCCAGCCACTCCTGGTTTTGATTTGTATGTCCTGCAACAGATGTGATCTCAGGGAACTCAAGAGCGGGAGACGAAAAGAGCTGCAGGACACTCTGGCTTCTCCCACGTCTCATAGTGGAAGTCCACAGAAGATCTCACCAAGGCTTGACCAACACACATAGTTCATGCCACAGTGATACTCATTTTTAGTTTCTCTGTGACAGAAACTTGAAGCTGGCATCTGGGAAGGTATGAGGAGCCAGCCACCAGCCCTCAGTCCCACTGTCTTGTAGCACAAAGATCCACGTGCTTCTAAGGGATGTTTGGCAGGATCTCCTCCTAACCCGCCCAGGACAATGAGTATGTGTTCATGTCCTGAGTCAAAACAGACCCATTCCCAGAGGTCCCTTCCTGGGGACACAGGCTGACCTCAGATGGGGCCCACCCCCCCAGTTCAAGGTTCACAGACGGGCGGACGCGGTGTGACGCCACCATAGTCTGTCTATACCACTGCAGGTGAATGCCGAGCCCCCCACCATCACCCTAGAGCCCCAACAGCTCCAGGCCAATGGATCCCATGACATGTCCTTTGACGTCACTATGGCCTGGGTGAAAGGGGGCCAAACCAAAAGGAACATTCTCTTCCCTGAAGGACCAGGCCGGGATGGGCAGGGCCAAGAGGGCAGAGAAGTCTGGGCTGAGATCTGGGGTCAAGTCCCACCCCTGCTGTCTGGACCCCTGGTTGATCCTGAATTAGGCCTTGAAACTCAATGCTACTGGGAAGACACATCATCTTCCCTGGGGTGCTGTGCAGGGTCCTCACAGGGGCAGGGGACATGGCTGTGAAGACAGGCCATGGCATCCAATGCAGCCACAGAGCACACAGCCCCGACGGGTATATGCTGCTCCAGAAGGCAAGGATGGGAAGACACAAACCACACTCTCACAGAGACCAGGGCCAGACACGCAGGCCACTCATGTGAGTGGCCCTCTGGAGACCAGCTCATGCCCCGCAGCTGACCCCTCCCTACCAACCCACACTATGCTGGGTCTGTATGCACCAGAAGGTGAGATAACCCGAAGGAAAGCAACTCTCCCTTCCCTATGCAGCAGCTCCCAGGGTTATTAAAATAGGAACATATTTATCTCATCGATCACACTCTCTGCCACAGGCAGACTGGCCCTGCACCATGGGGAGGCAGTGCCCCACAGCCCTGAGAGGGACCTAAGCTGGCCCTGTGCCCCAGCCTTCCTCCTCCACCTTGCTGATGTGGACGAAGTGGGGGGCCTCTCGCATGCACACTTCAAGGCCCTGCCACCTGGGGCTCATGGGTGGAACACTGTGCACACCTTCAGGTGGGGACCAGGTGACAGGGCACAGGATGGGCTGCACTGCGGGGGCCAAGGTGGGGTGACCCGTCTGCCCTGACCCCAGGGTCACCCGCTCCCTGTGAGCAGCCTGTCACCAGCACAAGGAGGGCATGGTGGCCATACCAGCTCGTGGCTCTGTGGCTTGCCCTGCAGCTTCTGGTGGTAGTCGAAGGTGAGCCTGTCCAGGACCGCCTGCTCCTCCTCATCCACAGTGGCCATGGAGCGCTCCTTGTTGATCTTGTCGATGTCGATGGGCTCCTCACCCTCCAGGATAGCATTCCACCAGTACTCGCCCACCTTGCTCAGGTTCACCTGGGACACAGAGCAGAGACGGGTGTGGGGTGGAGGCAGGGCCGTGGCCAGCAAACCCACGCCCACCCTGGGACTGGCCTTCTGTGTGGGGACAGAGTCTGCAGAGGGGCACAGCAGAGCCTGCCGAGGGAGGTGGCTGCAGGGAAGATGTGTCAAGACACAGGCGCATGTGTGGGGACACTTAGAGGACCCACATCCTGCTGGCACTCAAGATCCTCTTCCCAGGTCCTCGATTCTCAGTCAGGACAGTACACACACTTTCCCAAGAGATGCCCCCGCGGACCTGGTCCTGGGCCACGCAGAGCCTCTCTGGGTCTACCTGCCTGTCGGGCCAGCCCCACCAGTCTTGCCAACTACCTTTCTGGCTTCCAAGGCCACCACCCTGTCTCCCGCTGCCTTAGCGAGCAGAGAAAAGTTCCCAGGGACCCCCACCACTCAATGAGGCCTGGGCCTGTCCCCATTCCCTCTCTGCAGCCAGCCCTGCTGTGTGGGGGTCCTCCTTCCCAGCCCCTTAGGCCCTCAGCTCAGGGGGAGGCCCACTAGGTCCAGCCTTCCTAGACACCCACGGGACAGCCTGACGTACCCTAGACAAGGCGGCGGCAGCCATGAGCCCTCGGTGCCTATCTGCAGGCCTTGTCTCAGGGCCACACAAAACTACTGAGGGCATCTCGTGAATCTCAGTCTGTCCTACCCCTGTGGTGAGGGGTCATGGGGACACACTGGGAGTAAAGACACTAGCTGCATCCCTCATAGTCAGAGGCTGGGCTCACTGGGCTATTCTTATGATGGCAGCCATGTGACCCAGTACTGAAACGAAGCCCTCAGTCCTCAGAGAGGGGGAAAAGGCAACCAGGGCTGCTGAGTGAGGGATCTCACGTGGAGGAACTGCCACCAGGCTTCCCACTTCAGACAATCATGACACATGGCCAGGAGTGGCCCACAGAGGGGCCATCTGTGTGGGCATGGATGCTTTGTGCAGCCCCTCTACCCACCAGCCTACGAGCCCCTGCGACCCACACCCACCCACACCACAGCCCTGAGTCAGACCAAGAGTCAGCCAATGGGTGCAGTGGAGTGGTTTCCACAACCTGGAAAACTGTGCAGAAACTCACCACTGCAGCATGGCTCCTGGGACTGCGAGGGGGTAGGGACCGGGGACAGCACGCCACACAGGCCCCAGCCCCACCAGCGAGCACCTTGCTCGGCACCACCTAGTGCCACAGGACCAACCTTCATCACTGGACTCTGTTGGCCGTCAGTCGATGACTTTGCTTTTCATGAGGGGACCTAACCCAGCCCCAGAGACCCTGAAGCTGATGGGATGAAAACCTCCCAAGAGGGAACCACAGCGTGTGTTGCTTCTCTACCTGGGAGAGAGTACAGGTGCTCAGGGCATTGCAAATCGCTGGGAGGAAGAGCTCTTACGTCTTTTACTTTCATCCTCATAGGTAACTGTCCTTACTGGGAGCTACAGAACACACATACAGTATCACAGTATTAAAAAAACGGCAGACCCTGGAGGTCAGGCCTGTGCGGGACAGTCACTTAGCTCCTAGTGGGCTCTGCACAGCGCATGGACCAGACATGGGTTCACAGCTGGGCCTCCACTGCTGCCTCCTTGGCAGCTCTGTGGGCACAGGGCAGGTGGGCTGAGCAGCACTGGTCTGCCCGGCAGGCAGGAGGAACACATCTGACCACAGGCACACCTGCTGATCTGCATCCTTTTCATCACAAGCATTTGATCTACATTTAGATTACATAAAATTTATAATTAAGAGTTGATTCATACTCAAGTTGTTCCCAAAATACTTAAAAGTTTTCCAGCCAGGAGTACAGTACAGGCCTGTAATCCCAGCACTTAGGGAGGCTGAGGCAGGACAGCAAGTTCGAGTCCTGCCTGGGCAATTTAGCAAGACTCTCTCTCACAATAAAAATTAAAAATATAGAAAGTACTGGGGATGTAGCTCAGCAGTAGAGCACCTTTGGCTTTGAGCCCCAGGGCCATCACCAAAACCAAACAAAATCAAATAAGTTTTTTAATATAAATTAAAACAGAACAGTGGCTTCTGCAGTCACATGTGTTAAATGTCACATGCACACCTGGCTGCCAAAGTATCAGGGCCCCGCTGCTCAAGTGTCAATGTGCACAGCACAGGTGTGTCCTGGTGGGAGTTAGGAACCACTCTATTTATAAATATGTTTGGCTTTTTTTTTTTTGGTTTTTGAGACAGGGTCTCACTATGTAGTTCAAGCCGACCTGGAACTCAGCCATCTTCCTGCCTCAGCCTCCTGACTGCCGGGTTTATGGGCGTGCACTACCATGCCTAATTTTTTTTTTTTTGGTACCGGGGATCAAACTCAGGACCTTGCGCTAGTGAGGCAGGTTCGGTGCCACTGAGCTAAATCCCTGGCCCTTGAAATGTTTCTAATTGAGGTGAAATTCACATAAAATTCTACCCACAAGTGAACAACTGAGTGGGTTTAGCATACTCACAGTGGTGTGTACCCATCGCCCCTATCTCTACAACCATCCCTGCCTCCTCACCCCGAAAAGAAGCCCTATGTCCCTTAGCAGTTGCTCCGCATTCTGCCCTAATCCTTTCCCTAAATGCCTCTTCCCCCACTCTTGGCAACTACTGATGATTCTGTCTCTAGTGATTTCACACCAATGGAACCTTACAGTGTGTGTCTCTCTCTGCGTCTGCTTAATCCCCTTAGAATGGGCTCCTCCAGGTCCTTCTGTGTCAGAGTTCTGCTCCTTTTCAGGGTGAGTAATATTCCACCAAATGGACGCATAGCACTCTATCCATTAATCCACGGATGGGTGCTAGGGCCGCCTCCACCTTTGGGCCATTGTGTTTTCAGCTCCTGCTTTCTTTTCTTTTTCTCTAAGCAATAGCTCATTTTTCCCCGCTAAGCAATAGCTCTTTTTTTTTTCTAAGCAATAGCTCTCTTTTTTTTTTCTAAGCAGCTCCTGCTTTCTTTGGAGTGTTTAGGGACAGAATTGCTGGCTCTCCGGTAATTCTTCGTTTAGCTTTTTGAGGAGCCTCTAGATCGTGCTCACAGGGGTGGCACCATTTTCCATCCCTACCAGCAGGCGCCAGGCTCCGATCTCTCATTGAGCTCACTGACACTGGGATCTTTCCCATTAGTCACCCTCAAGGGTGGGTTCGGCTGGTGCCCTGTCCTCAGCCTGACCTCGGGCCGGTGCCTGCTCCCCACCCTGGAAGAGCACTGGTGGCAGCACAGGCACAGGCTGCCTTCAGCTCATGTAAAGGCTCCAGAAGACGCAGGTCTCCTTTCCAAAGCTGTAGTCAGTACTTAGCACTCGTGGGCTATCTTCCACTACGCTTTCAGGACGAGCACACGAGCAAAAAGAGCAAGGCTGCCATTATGAACAAGACCACTACCTCGGCACTGGCCGTGGGGAGCTGCACCCCCCGCCTCATCCCCAGTCCTATCTCCTTAAATGGCCCCAAGCCCAGAGTTGTGGAGCCGACTGGTTTCTTTATGCTCTGAACACTCCCACGCTCCACACAGCGTCTGTTCTTTCCTTGGAGAGACACTTCAGGGAGGCACTGGACCTGGGACTTAACCTGCCAAGCCACTCAAGAGCTCTGACACCCAGGTGAAGGAATGTAAGCTGACAGGCCAGAGGAGAACAGGGGACATGTTCCTGCAATGGACATCATGGGCCCTAGCTAAAGGCAATACCCTAGGAAAAGTAGCTTCTCTTCTTTCTTTTCTTTGCAGTACTGGGGACTGAACCCAGGGCCTCACACATACTAAGCACAAGCTCTACCACTGAGCTACCTCTCCAGTCTTTTTTATCTTGAGACAGGGTCTCACTAAGTTGCCCAGGCTGCCCTCTAACATGTGATCCTCCTGCCTCAGCCTCCTGAGTAACTGGGATTACAGATTTGTTGGCCACTGCACCCAGCCAACCTCTGGCTTTTTCTTTTTAACGTTTTGTTACTTTGTGACAGGTCCCGTTTGTGCAGGTATGGTTTGCAGACAGTAAAACTCAACCTTGAGGGCCAGGAATTTAGCTCAGTGGTTCTGGCGCCTGCCTCCCAAGCACAAGGTCCTCAGTTCAATCCCCAGGACCAAAAAAAAAAATAAAACCTCACCCTTGAAGTCAGTGTTCATGAGCCACAGCCACAACCCCTTCACAGACCAGACCCCTGTTCCCTGCTGCCTCAGCTCTATAATGCGGGCCCCATGTCCAGAACGTTGTCCCCGAGGAATCACACAGCTCGAAGCCTGCGTCGCCATCCTTCTCCAGGCACGTGGGCCCTGACCCTGGCCAACCTGCTCCATGATGCAGGGTGCCACATCTGCCCATGGACGTGGGACACTCTTCAGCACTGGCAGTCAGGTCAATCTGTGCATCCCCATTTCTTCCAGGTCACCAGCGGGCGCACGCAACTCCTCCCGATGGGTTCCTGGCCTTGCAGTGCCACCCGCCTCAGATCCCTTCTGCATTCTCGCCAGGTCCAGCTCTCCTGTGATGCTAGGACCCATGATGCCAATGGCAGCGCCTCCCTTCCATGTTACCTGGCCATGGGCTCTGCCGCCTTGGACTCCATGCTCCTCGGGCCCAGGCAGCCACTCAGAACCATCCTTCCTGTGTCGGAGTCAGGAAGTCCCAGGTGAGCACAGTAGAGGTCACCACGACCTTGCTTCCCAGGGCACATCCTCACTTTTCAGGGTGACAAGATCCCAGGTTCCTCTTCCTCCTCCTGGTCCCAGACCTGCAGCCTTTTCTCTCAGAGGGGCCCACTGTGTCTGCAGCCTCCCAAACACGCTCATACCAGCTCCACCTCCGCACCCCATCTGTGCCAGTGACACGCCAGCAGCCCCTTCCTTCTGTGTAAGGAAACCTCATTTCCACTCAGGGAAGCAGTGTGCCCAGTCTGGAGGGCTGGACTCCTCAAAGCTGGCCAGTGATGGAGTGTGGGCCAGTGGGCATGTTGTGGGACCTTCCTTCCTCAAAAGGCACCTTACGCCAGGCATGGCGGCGCACGCCTGTAAACTCAGCACTCTGGGAGGCTGAGGCAGGAGAATCACTGCAAGTTTGAGGCCAGCCTGGCCTACATAGTGAGTTCATTGCCAGCCTAAACTACAAAGTGAGACCCTGTCTCAAAAAAAAAGAAGAAAAAAAATCAAAAGGCACCTTGGGCAATGGCAGGGGACAGGAGGGGCAACAGCACTGCTGCAGGGAGGATGTGGCCGCACAGGCAGCCGCCAGCTCCTAGGGACATACCACAAGTTGACACCGAGATGCCATCACCTGGTTTTCAGTGTTGTCAATGATTTTTTTGTAGCTTAACTAGCCTGGTATGGCGGCGCATGCCTGTAATCCCAGCACTCCAGAGGCTGAGGCAGAAGGATCACCCTAAGTTCAAGGCCGGCCTGGGCTACATAGTGAGTTCAAGTCCAATCTGAACTAAATAGCAAGACCCTGTCTCAAAAAATACATAAATACAAACAAAATTACAACACCGCATAAGCCAGACAGGACACAGGCTGTCTTGGACACTGCCTTTGGTGTAACCTACAGGTCTCAGCTCTTTCCCTAGAATCTAGGATGGAAATGATGTGAAGGACTGTAATTCCCAAAGGCGTGTCCTGGAGACAAAATGCACTGAGGCATCCAGAAGGGCTCAGCTATATCCCTGGCCCTTTTTGAGAAAGGGTCTCACTGACTCACCCAGGATGGGCTTGAACTTGTTGGGGCTGGGATTAGAAGCAGGTGCCAATATGCCCCGCTTCTTTTCTCCTCTTTTTTTGGGGTGAGGGTGAAGGAAGGGTAGATTGAACCGAGGGCCTCATGGATGCTAGACAATGTCTCTACCGCTGAGCCACACCCTTTACATTTGATTTTATGTAATAATCCCCAGGCTTTGGCTCTTGCCAAATGCTAAAGTAATGCACTCTGCAATTCCCACACTGAAGACGTATGTGAGGTGAGCCACAAGGACAGATCACAGGCCAGGGGAGGTGGCCAGGCAGGGCAGGTGGCTCCCAGCTAAGAAAGGTCAACTTCATCCTCACAAGAAAGCCAGGTTGAACAACTAGGGTGCCCAGATAAATCAGCAGAGAACAGAAAATCTGAAATCCATGCTATCAGGGACAGGGGTGTGCAGGCACACACACCACGGCAACACTCGGAAATGCTGCAGCCCCCAGGGGTCCCACTGAGAAGCAGTGACTTCCGGAAGTCGACTCAGTGCAGGAGGAGAGAAGGGGTGCGGCTCATGTACAAAGCCTGCAGGGTTAAAAACTCACGCATGAATACACTGCAGTGAGGTATTAGAGCCTGAGCTTCAAGGGCTAATTCCTCAGAGAGCAGCATGAAGCTCCTTCGCCGTGTTCCGAGGCTGCGCATGCACAGTGTCAGCACAGGAGGATGAGGTGCGCAGTGGCGGGCGCCTCTTGTGCAGCCTCAACCAACCCTGCAGCAGCACAGTGCCCACGCAATGCGGGGGGCAGCCTGCTGGCTCCCCACCAAGGGAGAGACCAGGACAATGCACAAGCCGGGGCCAGCTCCTGGGTGGAAGGAGCCAGTGCTGTTGCCACAGCTGATTTTACATCTCTGTAACCAGGCGAGAAGCTCGCCTGAGTCAAGAAGTCTCATTTAACATTCGAAGTGTGGGAGGGAGGGAGGCAAGAGCTGTCACACGGTTTTAGCTGCCACCCCTGCCTGCCCTGGCTGTCTGGTGTGGGAGCCAGCACACAGTGCAGGCAGAGAAGCCATGGGAAGGCGCAGGAAGCAAGTGGCATGTGTGCTCGCCTTCAGCAGGTGAGGCGGTCAGAACCTCTCGCTGTGGGGTCTGGGGTGACAGGGATGTGTCTGGATGCTGCCCTTCCTCCTGGCAGCTCCAAGAAGAACCCTCCAAGTGTCTCAGGGCTGCTGTGACAAAAACAGACCAGGGTCTTAACACACATTCCTCTTGCAGTTCTCAAGGCAGACGACCAGAATCAAGGTGTGGGCAGGACCACGCTCCCCAGGAGGCTCCCTCTTCCGGCTCCTGCTTATTGCTGGCTCCCCTGGCTTGTGGCCACAGCACTCTCTGCCTAGTCTTCTTGGACACTGGGCTCTCCTGTCCTCACAAGGACACCTGTCCCTGCACTTTGGGCCCACCTAGATAGTCCAGGAGGCTCACATCTGCCCTCTTCAAGAAGAGGCCACGAACCCAGAAGGTGTTCTGGGGCCCTACTTACTCTCCTGGACCATCCTGCTCAGCGCACGGCAGCTGCAAACCCAAAAAGGCCCGCTAAGACCAGGTGCTCAGCCCCACGTGAAGGATGAGAAGCGGACACCCAGAGCTGGGCCCTGATCTGCACAAACCCCTCTCTGCATCTACCTGCTGAGCAGGGAAACTGGATGCCAGGTTTCATGGGGAAGATGCAGTGTCCTGAACAGGATCTTCATGAATCAAAATCTGCTTCCTAATTTACAGTATCACCTCAGATGTGATCAGAAGAAAAAATTGGCCCCAAAAGGTCATCGATAAGCAAACCTTGGCTCCCATAAACGGTAACTTTCTGTAACCTCAGGGCAGAAGGAGCTGGCAGAAGCAGGCAGAATCCTGCGGCCCGGCAGGAAAGCCTGGTACAGGTCGGCCCAGGCTAATGGGAGAGCCACAGGAAGAGGCCATGACGTGCTATGCGACTTATCTTTCCTGAGACCCTTCACTTTCCCAAGTGAGGCTGTTGTGGAAATGCAATGCCCAGCACTGACAGTAACAGCAGCTTTGAGGGACCACGGGAACCAACACAGGCAGCATCTCGGTGCCAGGGTCTTCTCCAGGCATGTCAGGGCTGGCAGCACACCGGAGATGCCTGTTGGCAGCAGAGCAGATGCCTTGGGCTGCAGCTGGCTCTGCTTCTTCCCTATCAACTCTCCATGCAGCAGGTGGCTAGCAAAAGTTAACTAAAGTACTAGTGGCAGCTGGGGCACAGGGTAGCCCAGAGAGAACTCATCGAGGTCGGGCCTGAGGAAGTCTGCAGGCAGATGGGGACACATCCAGCGTCCTCCACAGCCAGGATCCCCAGATGTCTCCAGCCAGGGGAAAAGGGGCAGAGTGCATACACTCCATGCCTAGGAGTGCAGCTCCCTCCTCAACCACTTTCCAGCCTGCATCATGCTGAACCTCCAAACCAATAGGTAAAGAGCCTGCAAGAACCTCACAGCTGGGCTTCCTGGCCCAGCCTCAGCCCAAACACACTACCACCCTCCCAGAGCCTGGGCTTGCTGGTGATCCTAACAGCACCGGTTGGCCCAGGGCACCATGTTCAATGCTGGCAGCCAGCAGTACAAGAGGTAAACATTCTACCACACCCTGTTCCACCTATACTTTACACAGAAGTGTACCAAACCCACAAGAAAAGCAACATGGCTTTGAAATTCCCATGAAGTGAGTCCCCTCAATCAACAAAAATCCTTAGGAGATGAGCAATGTAATGATAACCACATTTTCAAAGAAATAGTGTAAAGTAAAAGGACTCATCAGTACTTAGATAACAGTCCCTGCGGTTCTAACCCAGTGGTCACAGGTCCAGAGACCCATTACAGACAGGCTGTCATGAGTTGGGCGAGGACACTCCTGCTGTGAGGAAGCATCCTGCGGGGAGGGATGCACAGAGACGCACCACCTGCTGCACAAGGCCAGGGCGCTCAGTCCTCAGCCTCACAGCTCAGAGCAGCCTGGGCAGGCTGGAGACCCGCCCAGAGCGCTGTGCCCAGAGGCCACACTCACCAGCACACACTTGCCCGGCTCCAGGCTCCAGAGGGAGCTCTCAGTGTTGATCTTGTGGGTGAGCTTCCCTTCCATGAGGACACGTTCTCCGCCCTCCTCTGCCATGGCCACGCGGATAGAGCCGCTGCTGAGGGCCACCGAGACCTGGGGACAAGCAGAAAAAATCATGTCTGTAAGAGTGGCTGCTAAGCACAAGGTAGTGGCAAGGATGGTGATTTTGGGGACCGGCCCACAGAATCCAGCTCCTATGGGGCTCTGCTGGCTCGTGAGTGAAGAAAGCCACTCCAGCCTGCTCCACACCTAGGGCCACCAGCACATATCAGCTCCTCCAGGACACGGCACACATTCTACACTCCATATAGACACTTTCTAAAATCCAGGTTTTAGGGCTGGGGATGTAGCTCAGTGGCGCCATGCCTCCTCACCAAGCACAAGGTCCTGAGTTCAATTCCCAGTACCGGAAAAAAGGGGAAAAAAACCTTAAAATCTAGATTTTATAACATAAAAAAATCTTTATAATAGCATATCCCTTGTGTGAAATGCTTGGGGGCAGAAGTGGTCCAGATGATGAAAGTTTTTAAGAGTTTAGGAGTCGTCGGGCCCAGTGGTGAGCTGTAGTCGTGAGTTTTGTGTGCTTTGTAGCCTGTCACACGGAAAGCAGCAGACAATCGAAGACTGAAGGAGTACTAGCCGCTGCCGAGTCACAGAGTGGGAATGTAATATGGAAATATGGAAGCATTCTTGAGAGGGTTTGTTTTTGTTTCACTTCTTTTCATTAAGACTGGAATCAAGCTTACCTGTAAACTATTGGCAATTTAAGTTTCCTTTTGTGTCATTCAGTGTAAAACTGTCTAATTTGAAAAAAATGTAGGTTATGAAAAATAAAGATTTAGGCAATGTTCAGTTTTTCTTTTGATTTTTTTAATTAAAATTTTCTTAAAGGAAAAAAAAAAAGAGTTTAGAATATTTGCATAGACTTTACTGGTTAAGTATCCCTAATCTGTTGTGGTTTTGTTTTTTGGTACCAGGGATCAAACTCCGGACCTTCCACTTGTGCGGCAGGCGCAAGAACCACTGAGCTAAATCCCCGGTCCCTGAAAGCAAGTATTTAAAATTTTTTTCTCATAGGTCTGAGAAATTAAAACAAGCTATTTGATACACTTGGTTCATTAAATGCTTGTAAAATTACCAGGAAAAAACCCTCAAAGTTACAGAATTTTCCAAGTAGAGTCCAATATTTGAATGGAAAATGGTGTAACTCAGTGTGGTTTGAATGAGCACGAATCAAAAAGGAAACATAAGGCACAAGGCCCTCAGTTCGATCCCCGGTACCAAAAAACCCAAAAAACCAAAGAAACAAAAGGGAAGGGAAGGGACCACGTGCAAGCAGTTGCTCCATGGTACACTTCTCAATGACAATGGGGTCCTGTGTGGGCAGCTGGGAAAGGAGGGTACAGAGGACTGCCCCAGAGAACATGGACCCCTCACACCAGGGGCAGGGAGAGCTGTCCACCCGCCCAGGTTACACAGCCAAGTTCTGGAGGGGGGTGTCCTCCAGGGACAGGGCTCACGGGGCCACCTGTGCTGGCTTCTTGGAGGAATCTACTTTGGAAAAGTCTGCTGCCCTGGCTGGGCCCCTTGAGCACAAACAAAGCTTTGATCCCCACCTTCTAAAAGCAAAAGAAGCAAAAGGAAATGTGACATGGCTTGGCTTGCTCCTGGATTGGCCCCAGATGGACCCTGGGCCCAGTCCCCTGACTATAAACTTGTGTGTGTGACCAACAACTGATGCCACCCCAGCTCCTTTGACCTGGCTTCCCAAGACCAAGCTTGTTTTAACAAACTCCCCCAGCAGCTTTACGCGACACCGCAATTTCCCAATCTGGGCAAGATTCTCACACAGCCTACCCAAGAGAATGAATGAAATCCTTGAGGGAGAAAACCAAAAGTGTCAGCTGAAAACATCACACCAAAACCAGGCCATGATCCCGACCTGCCACCTACAGAAATGATAGTCACAAAGAGAAAGACCCCAGACGGTGAAGGGAGGAAGTGAGTGGCCGGAGCAGATGAGACCTTAAAGAAGGACTGACATGGGCCAGAGATTTAGCACATTGGTTCTGCCGCCTGCCTCGCAAGCGCAAGGACCCGAGTTCGATCCCCAGTACCAAAAAAAAAAAAGGACACAGGAGGCAAACCCCCAGGGTGGGGCACCCAGGAGCTGCAGCCGTTGTGGAGGCAGAGGCGAGGCCAGGGCACAGGAGGCAATCACTGAGAGCTGTGCTGTAGAAGCCCGGCTGAGGGACGGGACCCGCTGTGTGACCTGGCTCTGCTCCAGACTGAGCAACAGTCTGAGGGCCTGGAGTGGATGCCCAGGCCCAAGTGAGGTTTGACTCACTCCAGCACGGGACAACCAAGGCCTCCCAGCCCGTAAAGCAAAGCTGTCGTACAGTGGGAAGAACAGATCTCTGACACAGGGGGAGACCACCAACACTGCCCCACACACAAGAAACTAGGACAGTTAAAAACAATAGGAAACCAAGGATCAGGCCTCATTAAGAAAACCAAAAGCTGAAAAGAAAGACATAAAAACCAAACACATGGACTACAGAGCTAATCAGGAAAAGACATACTTAAATATTTCCATTTTATATATCTTAACAGAGATCTGAAAAGATACTGTTTCAATGGAGCCCAGAGTAATATATGAAAAAAGCTGTAATTGCAAAAAGAAAGAAGAATCAAAATTTAGTGTAGAAGATGAAATCAAAGAAATCAAGGTAGGGCCGGGGATGTAGCTTAGCAGTGCAGCGCCTGCAGGCAAGAGCAAAACCCTGAGTTCAATTCCCGGTACAAAAAAAAAAAGAAGAAGGGGCCGGGGATTTAGCTCAGTGGTTCAGCTGCCTGCCTCACAAGTGCAGGGATGCGAGTTTGATGCCTGGTACCAAAAAAACAAACAAACAAAAAAGAAATCAAGGTAGAGATAGAGTAATCAATCCGACATTCCAACAATTATGGCAATAATAAGCAAATTTCCCAGGGAGAAAGGAAAAAAAGGGTCTTTGGATTGAAAACACCCACTATGTGCTAGACTGAATGAGCAACAACTGAAACAGACAGTATTTAAAAAGGTCCAAGGCATTCTGAAGAGGATGGGAAAAGGGTTACTCACAAAGTTCCCGAAGGAATGAGACCTCTAGAATGAGCACCACTGGTGGTAGGAGACCTGCTTTCCACCTTCCAGGGGAAAGCAGCCTTAGGACAGGGTTCTATACACACCAAGCGGGGAAAGAAGCGAAAGGTTAAAACAAACACATTTTAAAGCATAAAAGAACTCTGCATTTATCACACATATTGCTTTGATAACCCAAGAAGAATCCCAACTGGGATCCAAAAATCAGTCCATTTAATCCAGAAGTACAGAAGGAAGCAGAGAGCGAGATGCAGAATAATCAGCCAGGCTGGAGCTGGAGAAAGTGACTTCTAGACAACACCAGCATTGCTGCACCAGGGTAACTCAAGTAATGAGAAGCGCACTGTCCTTGACAAGATGAAAAAGAAAGGCAGCAAGGACCTCCGGAAACCAATGTGATGAGTGCAATTCCTGATCCAATGGGACGCCAGTGAAATGAGAGTACTAAAGAGCTCTTTCTTCCATAAGAGCAAAAGAAAAATGGCAAGAAGTGTCAACACCAACTCCTCATGGACTGCAGAAGCTAACCAAGGTTTAAGTAAGCCAGGGAGGGTTTGTTCAAGAGAAACAACCATGCCCCCCAAGACCAGCCCAGCTGAGTGGCCTTTTAACTCGGCCCAGCCCCATTCCCGCACTGGCCCCCAGCAGCTTGCTCTCTAGTGCTGCCAGCAGCCACAGCGAGGAGAAGAACACAGCCAGAGCACCTTCAAAGAACAGATATCTGACCTGTCTGAAGGCGCTCAGGGAGACCCTGCCTGCAAGGTTGTTTCAACAGGACCCGGACCCCTCTCCCCAACATGCATGTGCTCTCCCACAGGTGTTTACTGAAAATGATTACATGGAAGAGTTTCACAACTGAAGCAAACAAAAGGAAAAGGTGGAAGTAAAATGCCCACCGTGGCTTTGAAAAGCTGATGTATTCCAGGTATGTAGAAAGCCACATGAATATGCAGGCTCATTGTACACTCAGGGAAACCTGAGTCAGCCACAGGCTCTCATCTGCGGCTAACCTTGACCATGAGCAGGAAGTGAAGGCTAGGGCAGAGTCTGCACCTGCTAAGCCAAGCTGAGGGTGTGCTGAGTTCAGAGCACACAGGGAGCCCCTTGGCGAGGACCAGATGAGCGCTAAGTTCATCCTGCAGAGAGCTCACTAGCTTCACACAACAAAAAATACGGACTTTGCAGAACTCGTTCATGAAAGTCATTAAAATCCCACTACATTAGCTACCAACAGCAAACTACCACAAGGGAATCCGATTTCAGGGCTGCCACACTCTGTTATTAAAACAGCCACCTTTCAACAACAACAAAACACAAGGTTTGAAGAGAAATGAGCAAGTGTGGCCTATTCACAGGGGAAAGAAAGAAATCAGCTCCAAAAATAGAGAAAGAAAGCAATCAGCAAAGTCTGTCCCTGAGGACACCCAGACATGGACTTACTAGAAAAATCTAGAAATCAACTATTTTTAAATGTGCTAAAAAAACTAAAGAAAGGCATGTGTAAAGAACTAAATGAAAAAAATGAAAATATAGTCTCATAAGTAGAAAGTATCAATAGAGTGATAGAAATTTTTTCTTTTTATTTTAAAAAACCAAATAGAAACTGGAGTTCAAAAGTAGCTGGGGAAGCAATGTAAAAAATTCACTACAGGCAATCAAAAGCAGATTCCAGCATTTAAAAAACAATATCAGCAAACTTTAAGTCCATTGAGTTACACAATCTGAAGAACAGAAACAAAGAACAATGAATAAAAATGAACAGAGCCTCAAAAACCTGGGAGACACCAAACACACCAACATCTGTGAGATGGGAGTCACAGAAAGAAGAGTTTTAGAAAGGGCAGAGGAATACATGAAACAAGAGAGGCTGAAAATCTGACATGAAAAATTCACCTGCACATCAAAGAAGCTGAAGGGCTTTCTGACAGTGTGATCAAGACCTGGACCGTGC